CACCTTGCAAACGAAATTGAACACTGACATCAGCAAGTAAGAACATTTGCTCTGCTTTGTAAAAGAAGCCATTTGTTCAACAGCTTAACTGAGTAACTGTTAAAGGTCTGTACTGTACAACAGTGCAATATTGTTAATACTATGATAGCATACAGATGTCACTATGTTGAAACAGAACAAATGTAAGACAGAAGTAATGAGATCTCCAGGACTTGAGTAAGATGAACAATATATGATTGTTGAAGTAAAATACAGAATTGTCTGTAATAACATATGTATCTGAAAGAAATAAGGTAAAGTTATTAATAAATTAAAGTGCTAAGCCAGTACTTCCGGTCCTGTTCTCAGAGATTTCCAGCTGGCAAAAGCTCTGCAAGCGTGGGTTCTCTGGAACATAGGACGTTGATTTGAAATCCTGACTTTCTGGGCACATACTGAAAATTGCTAGTGAGCTCATTTATATTATTAAAAAAAAAAATCACAAATTATTCAAACAAAAAGGACTTTCCCTTTTATTTTTGGCATACAATTCACAAAAAAAGAATCATTTTGAGGTAATTTAATTCTATTCTAAAGCATAATGCTGAAACCTGAAAGAGTACAATTTCCCTGTATTTGGGATGTAGGATGTTATTTTCTACTTTTTAAAAATAATTCAAAGAGCTCCTTTTCTAATTTTTTTCCCCTTAAATATGAAAGTAATTCTTCAGCTCAAAGAAATATTTAGATCAGCCTTTTACTGCTGAGGAAATAGAAGGCAAGATCCAAAGCAAGCAATTCAGATTTTGGAAGCATTTCTGAAGTACATTCTGAACCACTTATGTAGTCTTGCTGAAATTTTTAAGCTTTGCTTTTTAGATAAACAAAACGAGAGCAGAAGAACTAATTTATGTTTAACATTTATGAGAACAAACTAATAAAATCAAAAGTATGACACAGTAATGCAAGTGCTCACCATTTAAAACAGAATTCTGAATTCCAGACAGCTGTAGCTTTAGTCACACAACTGATAAGTTGCATCATATTATAATTTACCATTCCCAAGAAAAGTCAAGAGCATCTGTTTTCCATTTTGTTTTAAACTTAGTAAATAGTAATGTGACATTGTAGCAATTATGAGGAAAGAATATTTGACAGATTTTTTCCGTCCATTAAATGAAAAAAAAAAAATCCCTGAAGAATTTTGATTGTTGAGGAAAAAACAAATAAAGGATGAAAATCAGATTATTCATATGCTACCTGCAAATATTTAGCAATTCCAACTGCCTTGAGTAGCCCATCAATTTCCTTTGGAATGCTCTGAATGCAAGCAAGTAGAATGAAGTTCATCGTTATGAGAAATGTTCGGCATTTCTTGACTTAGTAAGTCAAGAAACATACAAAATAAAATTTTCACATACTATTAACACTTATTTCCTGGGCAATCACTAACACCTAGTTCCTGCAACATATGTAGAGAGCAAAAAAACCTATGCAATACCATAAACATTGTGTTAGAGTAAAAAATATTGGATCTACACACATACCACTGGACTTGGTTTTATTTTGGCATCTGTCTTGTACTGAAAAGTGCCTGAGATAAAGCATTGTGTGGGACAAAAACAATAAACGTGTACTCAGTGCATGGAGTTTCTCACTAACATGTTTTGTACCTTTGACCATCAGTGCTCAGCATCAAAGAGTTAAAAAAACCCCCAGGATCAGAATACTTTCAGCAGATCAATTTTGCTGTGACCTCTGTTAAAATAAATATGATGAATAAAAATAAGAATTAAAGAACATCCATTTTTTATAAGACTTTATAACAGTTCTCCTTACTAGTCAATTATTTGCCATAAAACTAACCACAGTTAGACTTCAGTCTAAGTTTAAGAATTTGGAAAATAACTATATAAACTTGAATTATTTACATATATATATATACACACACACACAATGAGATATAGTTTATTTAAGTTTAAACAGAAGATATCTTAACTCAGCAAAAATGTCTAAGTAGGATTTAAAATCCATAATGACCTTAATTAGACTTTCCTCTCTGACATTTAAGAAAAGCATCAACAATAAAAACAATAATAATAAAATAATCCCCTACACAATACTAGCCCTTTAAGAATCATTCTTGGGTGGCCACTTGAAATAAAGCACAACAGAGTATGTTGCATTATCACCTATACCATGTTTCTTTTTTTCTTCTCCCTGTCATAACAAACTGATCTGTATGGCTCCTGATAAATAATATTATTTAGGTTTCATTATAGATGCAAAACCAGATGCAAATCCCAACATAGACATTTTCCAGTAATAGTCATCATGATTTTATTAGCCATCATCCAGGTCCATACTTCTGTTTGGACTACTCACTTGTATATTTATTAATGTGTACAAACTCTCCAGATAACAACTAGCTCCAAGCTCAGATGGCCAGTCCTAATAAACAGAACTGTCATGGAGATTTGCTATTATGTGTTGATAGACTCTAACTGGAGACGGAAGCCTTAGATTCTATCTGCTGATTGTCATAAATGCTCAGAACATTTATGGACCTCAAGCTCAGACATGTAAATCAGCATGGTCACAAATGTTATTGCCATATGAAAGCTAGCTCAAAAAGTATAAATGGTCAAAACCACAAAAAGATACTTTCATTGAAGTAATGGCTTCTTATGCTATTATTTCATTATATTTTCATTTGGGTGTTTGAGCGGCATCAGTTGTTTATCTGTGAGCACTCTGTTTGCATGAACACAGACAAATGCAAAACTCATAAACACTGACATTTGGTATTTTCCTTCCCTTGAATTGTTCTAGAAAAGACTGACTTGGCTTTCAGCATTCCATTCAACTGTAGCCCAAATACCAACAAGCCAGTTTGGCTCATGTATGTGACAGTTATTCTCTAACACTCTCTTTGCCTCTCTGAAAAACTCTATATATCCAATTTTCTTTTTTTTCCACTTAAAAACATATTAAGAAAACAATCCCTGAAAAATGTTATTATATGGCATTGATGATTGATGAGGTTAATTGTTTGAGGCTCTTCTTGTTTAGTATTGATCCTAAGGAAAATTATTATATCCCAGTCAGCAGTACTTAACTGCTGCACTATACTTTAATTCCACAGCATTTATTCCAAGAAAGAACTTAATTTTGAAACAATGAATACATGTGCTACATGAGCCTAAATAAATATAAATAAATTATAAATTTAGAAACCTTAAAATTTTGCATTGACCTAGTGTAGCTGAGGTCCTTGAAAGTTTTTTCTCATTGCATGACTTAATACAGGTAGAAACTCATAAAAGTCTCCACCCTGCTTCTTTCTGGAGTAATGGGATGCAAAATTCCTTGTTATGAGCTTAGAAGAAACCTTTTCTGATAGTGTAATGCACTATATATTGTGCTACATAGATAAAAAGGAAAAACATAAAACTAATACACTTTTTAGTCACAATTCTGAAATCAGGCCTCCCAGAGGTATGCTGTAGTGCAATTTTATGCAGATGGTACATTCCTACTTTTCCTTTGCATAATCATAATGAAAAATTTAATCAACCATCAATCCATTACTATTTATAACCTATTCCTATTTATAAGACTGCCATTTCCATGGCAAAAAGATAAAAATCTTAGCAAATAAGATTTGTGACTGTGGTCTTAGAAAAATCAAATGATTTTCAAAATCCCAGTTTCTCTACACAAAGTAAGCAGCAAACAAGACCACAGTGGAAAATAAATGTGACAGATTTTTACAATTATGCTATGAAAGCACTTATTTAAACTGACATATAAATTATTTAAGTATGTCTGAATAAAATCACTGAAAGTTAGTCATCTTTTGAAGATTAAAAAGGTTTATTTTTTACCCTTCTGCCAGGGTAAAAAGAAGCTAACTAATAAGGGCATTTAATTCTGCATATAATGAAAAAGAAAGGTGCTTTTCTTTCTATGGCTAGTCTTGGTCACATCTCATGCTAATCTGCAATGTTATTTGTGCATTTGACACTCATATTTGGGCAGATGATAAATATATACTAACTCCATAGGAACTGCAGGTACATTTCTGGTTAGGAGAATATACTGATAACTGCTGATGTAAGTGATCAATAATGTAACAATTGACATGAGAAATTCAAGGTAGCAGCTTGTCTTCATGTCTCCAGACTCTCCTATGTGTCGGGGGAAATTGTTAGCACTGGAAGTTGCTTCTGGAGCAGACCCTTGAGAAATTAAAGACTAAATATTCCCACAGCTTCTCTTTGGTTACTGTTAACATCCTAATCAAACAAAATTAGGCAGTTCTTTCTTTATAGACTTGAGGTACAGTAATTAAATAGGTCCATACTACAGAATCAATTTTTCAAGCCTAGAAATTTAATTCAGTCATTGTGAACATTTAGACCTGAGTAAACACATCATATTTAGAAATATATTTAGAAAGTTCCTATATGCTGTACTGATCTGTTACCAAAAGCTACAGAATGTTACAATATTTACACTAATTAATAGTACATTTCAACAGCATGTTCAGTTAAAAAAAAAAAAAGAATATTTGGCTTTCAAGACACTAACTAATTGTGGATCTGAAATGTGAGATTTCTTTTGGTTTATATCAAACTAATGCTGCAGCAGGATACATCTTAGCACAATTCCAATATTTTTTGGAATCTACTCAGATTGAATATCCAGTTTTGAGAGAGACTGTTTCTCATTCTGCCCTATTATACAACACTTCTTTTTGCCTGGCATTTGACAGGCATTCCCATCCTTTGCATTTACTTCACTTCACTTCCTCAATGCTGAGGCTGCAAAAACACAGCCAGCAGCCTCATAGAGCTTTTCATGGAAATCTGCCATTCTAAACTGGCACCTAACTCCACTTTACTATTCACTCAAGGAAGTTTAAAACTCTGAGATGAATTTAAATATTTACGCCAAAAAAGAAACTGATGAAAAGTATAATAATAAAAGAAGAAAATGAAAACAATGTAAGACATTACTGAAGTAGCTCTTCTTGGGAAAGCTCTGATTTTCTTTGCTTGCCAGTCACCAGTGCCAACTCATCCTTCAAATCCTGGATCTCCTTTTTCAGCTGGATAATCATCTACAAACAGCAAGACATAAACCAAGCATCACCAACAAATTATTAGCTGGTATATGATTTTTTCAGTGAAAGGTCTAGTTTAGGTAAATATACTTTAGTTTTCTCTTTTTTTAAACAAGATATCTTTTCTAAAAACTGTCAAAGTACCTTAAATACACCAAGCACTTTTTTATCCCCTGTTTTTCCATTTATAAACCCAAGAAAAGTCTTCCAAATTCAGTAAATTCTTGTGTTAGAAGATTTGGCTGTACAGAAAGAGCTCAAAAGATATTTTGCAAAAGAGAAATAGTATTTGACATAGGAATAAAAAGAGTTTTTCTGACTCATTAGTTTTGCCTTTTAATAATGAAAGCACATTTAAGAACTGACACCTTTGTTAGACTAAGGGCAACCATACAACAAAAGTGATTTTTTTTGCTTTCCCTATACAAACAGAAATTTCCAAACAATATCATAATTTTAATCTTACCTTTTTTCTTTCTCATGTGACATTTTGCAATTATTAGAATTATTGCATGCTATACTTGTAGGATGCATCAGTTGCTAACAACAAACTGATGGCATGAAGCAATAATGAAATTAAATGATATTAATGAATAGTAATGTGATAACATTACATGGAAAACTTAACTAGATTTTTAAATTCTAGGAAGTAACTGTCAGAATCTGTACTTTGGGAATAAATGTCTGTATAAAACCAAATTTTACTAATCATTAAACTCTCAAAGCCAAATTCTACAAAGCAGAGAAATATGCATATACCTAAGTCTAAGACACGAATGAGTGCATTCTTGGACATTTAATGGTTGATTATTTAATGAAGCCTCCCTTTATATGGCTCAAATGTCAGTAGGCCAGTGATATTTTTAGGTGGATTTGCATACACTGATTCCATGTGCAAAATAACTTTCCAAGAGAAGAATGTTTTTAAGGAAAATTAATCCCTTTTGATTGCATGCACTTTCCAGTAATGAGATTGCTGAAATAAATGACACCTATTTTCACTGGATGTTAAAACTCCTTCAAACATTTCTATTTCTTTTAATGGCTAAATTTAATCATAAGTTCCTAAGATTTTACTTTGAAAACTCAATTATTTTAAACATGCATTTGATTACTTCTTTTAATTCTAAACCTACAGTGTATGGGGTTTTTTTTACAATAAAGTATGAAAGTCTAAAATATTTTATTTAATAGCCTGTTAAAATTATGACTGTTAATAAGAAAAGTTGCAAGAACACTTAGAGAATGTTTCAGGCCAAACATTTTACCATAATTTTATATTGCCTCGTTTTGGTGCCACACTCTGATACAGTTTGTGCCAGCTGCTGAGTCAAGAAAATTAAAACAGCTGAATCACAGTAAGATCTCTGTTCAATGTTCAAATTTGTTAGGATGATTAACTTCAATCTGACAACAACAGAAATACCAATTTCAGGATATGGGTAGAAGATTAATTTTCAAGTATTATTAAGACAAAAATCTACAAAAGCAAAATAACTTCATTTCTATTTTTACATGAATGCCAGAAGAGATGAGGTTTAATTCAAGACCTTAATCTTCAGTTTAAATTATGTTCTTTAGCCATGAGTGAGAGAGGTTCAAAGATGAGTCACTTAAAAGTACAACAGGTACAAATTAATTTTCTCATTAAGATAAAAAGTTAGGAAATCTCCATTATGAAGAATAAAGTTTACACAAGAATCTGAGTTAACTCAGATCTACCAAGAGGTATTGTGAATACCCTTTATAAAGCATGCATTCAACTCACAGATGATAGATGCTGACAATAAATTGTGTTTTGATTTTTCATAAAATTAATATTATTTTATTACAATAAAATTTAATTTTTATGAAAAAGATCTTAAATCCAGACTTTGAATAATAGAGTTGCACCCTGGGAATACACTTAAGATAGGCAACAAGTTCCATAATGAGCACAGGGCCATATAAATTTGAGGTACTTGTGTTCCCCTGCTTTTTCCACGAGAGGGGATGGTTTTCTAACTCTCATGTGTCCACTTTTGCTTTACTTGCTAAATGATCCTGCAGAGCAAGACATACCAAACTCGCGGAGTATAGCTCCACAGGATGTAGTAAATGTTCAGGAGCCTGCATATGCTTTACCTCAATCAAAGCTTTCTGTGGCCATGGAAGAAATGTTTTGCATGATTTGCTACTAGAAAGTCTATGTATAAAAGAAAAGAAAACAAACAGATAGAAATTAAGAAGTTGTGCAATGCTTATTGGGGTTTTTTTGCCTTTGTTTTTAACTCTGTGATACTATTGCTATTACAAATTGCAAGGAAAAATAAAATACATAATAATAATGACAAAGGAAACCAGCTGAAAACTTGACAAGGATCTTCTGTTCCCTTTGAAAGTCAAGAAAAAGAGACAAGAAAAAATAAAAGCACAATTATTAACAATAACTGAAATGTGCTAACTACCATCAAGTAACAATGAATAAAATCATTAGTTACATAATTAGCTATTTCTGTCTCCTTTGCTTGTTTCCCTCTTTTTTTCCTAATGGTAACTTCACAAAGTTCTTTGTTCCTATCTAAAATGTTCCTTGAATCAATTTCAATGAAGGGCTTGGTATATTTCTCAGCTTTTTAATACACAAATTGTTTCGGTGCAGCTGTGTGCCTTCATTAAGTAATTAGCAATCTTAGTACATTCTTGGAGTTTTAGAACCATCCAATGAACTGTGATTATGATTTAGGAATTATCACACTAAAGAAACAACACTAAGATGATAATGAAAGTGACCATTTCTCCTCAGATGCTTTAAGAGTTAAGAAAGCCTTTGATTTGATAAGAATCCACTTAATTATATATTTGATAAAGATCCACTTAATTATAATTGTGTCCAAAAGAAAAAAAGTTAAAGTGGCAGTTATTTTAAAGAAAAAAAGTTGGAGCTTGCATCTGAAAACAATTTAATGGCACTTTTCAGTATAAAATCCCCAACACCAATTTGAATGCTGTTGATTAATAAACCTTAACCCAAGCAATCTCGTTCCCTCTGTCCCCAGACAGTTCTCACCAATCTGGGGTCAATTTCTTCATTAAGAACTGCTTCATTCTTAATAAGAGCAACTCTCTGTGCAAATCTGCAGGTTGATATAGATTCCTGGAAGAAAAATTAAAAAAAAAAAAAGAGAAGAGAGAATTCCAATTACCTTTGCACCAGGTAAGTAGCCAGACTGCTAACAAAGCCATTAAACTACATTTCCACTTTTTGAATATATTACAGAAATATTCTATCATTTCCAATTCCAAAACAACAATACTGAAGGGAAATAAGTTTAGTATATTAATGACAGGAGCACATAAAACTTTTAAATCATAGGACATATTTGACTGATACAGTTTATCCCCTGACCAACTGTGTTTCAGGTAAAACTGCAGCTGGAATTGTAGGATAACAAAGCCATCCTACACAGAAGGCAATAACCTTTGAATGATGAGAAAAAGGGAAAACTAATAAAAGTTGGAATTTTGTTGTTGTCATTTTGGTTGGTTGGTTTTTTGGTGAAAAGGGGACTAGGAAATTTATGTAAGAGGAGCGGGGAAAAAGATGGAAGAAAGAATAGCGGAAATCCAGGACAACTGAGAAACAAGCTAGGAGACTTGAAACTGGGAGGCATACAGGGGAACTGTGATACCAGATAAAAATCTGTCTGATGAGCTAAGACAGGGATCAGCAGGACTGAAAGGCAGAAAAAAAAAAGATACAAGACTGAGCTGGTTTGGGAAACTCTGTGACAGCCATTGTGTACTCCCATGTAGCACACAGGGAGAAATCAAAGATGCTGGTAAGTATTGTTCTCACATTCCAGATCAGCTGATATTTAAATGCCAGACCCTGCTATAAGACATACATATTTAATGAAAAAAAACCTCAGCACCTGTATCCAGTTCAGTCAAGTAATAAAACATAGAATACTAGCCAGTAGTCTCAGAAATACAAATGATCCTTGAGGAACTGTATGATAAACCCTTATGAGATGTGGCAGCCTGCATTTAAAAGAAAATTTGTTAGCACCTAAATTAATTCCCTACTGTAACAGAATTGATTTTCAGAATGGAAATAATTCTGCAGTTTTCAGTCCTTCAATATAGGAAAACACCAGTTTAAATGTTATGTTCATACACCTTTTTCTACATAACTTCTGTCTCTTTAAGTGCTTGGAGGTTTTGGTTTGGAACCCTGAATAAGGGTTACGTGAGGAAAGATGATTCTTGCTAAAGACACAATATATACGTAGAGAATCAAAGGAAAGGAAGGCCTTATAATTAATAGAGTTGCACACTGTATTAGTTGGACTCTATATCTGCCTCTGCTGTTCCTTTGCAATGATGATCAGACAATGTGATTTTAATTAAGTTCTATATATATAGTAAGTACAGTTATATGTACAGTACATATACATACATTTCCACTAGATCTCTTCACCCCATTTAGTGTGCAGGACATGTTAAATTAATGAGTAGGTAATCAATTCAGTTCTCAATGTTCAATATGCTAGCTTACAATCTGTTCATTCCATGCCATCAAAATGCTAATCAAGTCAGACATCTAATTTCCTAATCATTTTTATATCGTGCTTATCATCACAACACCTCAGGGCTTTACAAGGATTAATCAATCAACATTTTCTGCAAGTGTGTGGAATGATTACACTTAACAGAATGGAAACTGAAGTCAAAAGCATCAAAAAATTATACTCAGTTGTTTTAATTTTATGATCTGCTTTCCAAAATAGCTTCCATTCTGCTTCAGTTACAGTTATATTGAATAATGTATCTACAATTCAGAATCAACATCTTCATACAAGCACTCCAAAAAAATTTGATGTAGTGACTTAAGAAATTCAGTAAACTCATTGGTAGAAGTAGGAATATAATCCAGTTCTATTTGTCCTCTTCATGTCCTCTTATTGTCCTCCCTTTCTTACTCTGAATTTTCTGCTTCATTATTTTCATTACAAGAAATAGCATTAGGTCCTTCAGAAAGTGGCTTCTACTATACAACTTCAATTCATACTGCAGGTAGTTCTATCTTGTGCATTGTTTGTGAGTGAAATGTACACCCAATGGGAAAAACAAACCAACATGCAGCCCTAACATAGCTATAAATAATGACTCATGCACCTATTCTAATTCTGAGATTTTCTTATGATTAACAACTTACTTATCTTTTTATATTATTCAGACATATTAGCTTATCATCCTCCTTTATTATTTGGACATTCCAGATTTTGGGGATCAAGGAAGGGATTTTGTTGTTTTGTTGGGGTTTTTTTGTTTGTTTTTTGTTTGGTTTGTTGTTGGGTTTTGTTTTGTTTTTTGGGGTTTTTGTTTTATTTTATTTTTCAGAGGAACAAAGAATAAGATCTGTGATGTAAATAATATACGTTAAAGCAAGAACATGAAAATTTTAATAGCTTGCTCTGGATAATTACTTGATCTAAATATTTCCAAAATAGAAATCTAGAACACAATGTGAGATGCACCTGATGAATTGGTATATGAAAGGCTTCTGATCTCAAAGAGCTTAAAATAAAATTAACAAACTTCTCCAACTTTCTTTGTAACCAGACAATATGTTTGCATAACTACGTTTGCAAGTCTGAACAATATGTCTTCATTTAACAGCAAAGTCCACTTTTCTAAAAGAAAAGTCTATAACTAAATGAAGTACAGTTTGAGTATAATATTTTCCACTGTATTTCAAAAAACAGTCTTAGACTAAATAGTTTTTCCTTTCTTGTTTTTATGTTAGGAAAATCAGGAAATAAACTGATTATAAATGGCTTTGTGCAGTGTTCTATGTACTCTAGAACATTGCAACATGTTCTAGAATAAAATAGACTAGACTATTTCACTTGGAAGGGACCTACAATGATCAACTTGTCCAACTGCCTGACCAAGTTTAAGCACATTGTTAAGAGCATTGTCCAAACATCTCTTAAATGCTGACAGGCTTGGGGCACCAACCACCCTCCCCAGCCTGGTCCAGTGTTTAACAATTGTCTCAAAGAAATGCTTCCTAATATCCAGCCTGAACCTCTCCTGGCATATCTTTGAACCATTCCCACACAATCCATTGCTGGATACTGGGGAGAAGAGCTCAACACCTCCCTCTCCACTTTCCCTCCTCAGGGAGATGCAGAGAGGAATGAGGTCACCCTCAGCCTTCTTTGCTCCAACATAGACAAGCCCAAATTCCTCAGTTGCTCCTCACAGGACATTTTTTCCAGACTTTAGCCAGCTTTGTTGCCCTCCTCTGGCTGCACTCAAGGACCTTCACATCCTTCTTAACCTGTGGGGCTCAGAACTGCACACAGTGCTCAAGGTGAGAGCAGCAGACAGCAGGATAATCACCTATTTTGACCTGCTGGTTGTGCTGTGTTTGATGTATCCCAGGACTCACTGCTCCTCTGACCAGCATCCCTGGATCCATTTCTGCAGGGCTACTTTCCATCCACTGGTCTCCCAAATTATGTTTGTGTTGGGCATTACTCCAGTATAAATGCAGAACTCATTAAATTTCATCCAAATAACCACAGCCTAATGCTCCAATATATCTAGATCCAGCTGCCAGGCCTTCTGTCCCTCAAGAGAGTCAACAGCATTTCCCAGTTTGGCATCATCAGTAAATTTGCTAGTGGGCCATTTAACTCCTGCATCCAGATCATTGATGAATGTATTGAACAGAACTGGCCCTGGAACTGAACCTTGAAGAATATCATTCTGACCAGGCTCCAGACAGATGTAGCCCCATTCACTACAGCCCTTTGATAAAAACTACAGATCTATTTGTAAAAAAAGAGAAAACATCACTACACAATTCCAGTGCAGGAAATCAGTGACAGGATACAAAATATTTGAAAAATTTCCATAAATCCCAAACTACCCTCCCAATTCCCTTTCTTTCCAAGTAAACTCTCCATTTTTCTACCATAATCTATAAAATCTTGACTCCAAAGAAGTCAAACAAGTTCTGCCAAGGTTTTAAGTGGAAATTCACTTTTATAGCTCCAAAATTTATTCACCAGGAAATCAGTAAATTGAAAAAAAGAGTAGTTCATCACTAAGTGCAAGTCATTTCCCAACTGCCACTTGATTTGAGATTACTTAGAGAAAAGCACATTTGTCTAAAGGATTTGTTTCTATCCTACAGCAATTTTCATTGATTATCTATTTCTATTCCAAATTATCTCCTAGAAACAAAATTAAAATGTCCTTGAATTTTAACCTATACTAAAAATCAAAAGAGCAGGATCTATAGAGAAGTGAGAAGATTTTTGTTCAAGATAGAAATAACATACATCTATGTTTCTTTTGTCCATAGCAAGCATTGCTATCATGGTAGTCATGCAGTTGCCTCCCAGGCTGTCTCTTAGCACTGAGGTCATCATAGAGTTTCGGTAAGGAATGTGAGACCGGTTTTTCTCTGCAAGGGCAATTATTACCTGGAACAATAGCAAAATTAAAATACTTAAATTTATATGTATCTTAATGTTTGATGTATAAAGAACATATCCAACATATAAAACATATAAAGAACAAATACAATCTGCTCAAGAACTTTTGACACAACAAAACTGGGATGCTTATGCACCCCACTGTTAGCTGCAAACCCACTGGCTTTAATGAAAGAATTCCAAGTTAAATTTCAGTATGTTTATATATCTTTGTAGGAGCTGGACCTGAAAGACCAAGTACATTAAATTTTATCATGCCCTAGCCTTACAGTCTCTCAGCAACATGGAAACTGAACATGATAAACTCAAACCCACAGGTTTTCCTAAGACACAGGAACATAATGAAAATCTTCCTCGTACTTTTTGGTCATAACTAAAAATATGGATAGTATTAAAGTAAAAACTTCCTCAATATTTGCTACAGCATACTTTAAAAATGACACATTCTTAAAACATGTGCTTTGTACATGAGCCAATACATTTATTTCTGAGAAATTCTCTTGGAAAGCAAAGCACAAATAAAAGGGTGCATGATTACAATGTACTGCTGGAAAGAAATTATTCCGTTTAGAATATATATGCCTTGGCCAGAAAGGAAATTGTACACCTACTATTCTCAGTTTCCCTCCTCAGCTGTTTACATTATGGGACCTAATTATTAAATAAAAAGCTAGATTACCCCATGATGTCTTGTGATATAAAAGATGTGAACTGTTATCTGGCCAAGCAGTGTACTGAAAATCTTTAGCTATATGAGTTGTGCAAGCTCTCCTAAATCATTAGGAGTTGGTTTTTCTTTATGTAACATTTATATGTTACATATCAGTGTATATTTTGTTTATGCTACATTAAAAAAAATTGCTATTTTAGAAAATTTAGTAGTGACTTTTTTGTGGCATTAGTTTCTCTAAATGGTCTTCACAAAGTTAAAACTATAAATCTTACACTGGCAGTCCTGAGAAACACAAATGCATAATAAGATAATTACTGTCTTGTAAAGGAATCCGGAAACCCATTCCTAGATCAAGGATTTCAAATCTCATATGTTACAACTTGTTATATAGAAACATGTTAAAGTTTTGTTTGTTTATAATATGGCATAGAAATCTCATAGTAGTCTAGCACATACATTAATAAGCACATTCTCAGCCTCTGCCACACAGAGACCATAAATGGAATAGACAAGATGAGAAAAGAGCCAGAGAGAAGGTATGTTATTTCCATTAAAAATGCAAACATTGTTACAGGGAAGTTCATTTTTTCTGAAGTCCATGCAGGAAGTCTGCAGCCCAGTTAGAATCTGAACCCTCCCACACTAATGCTGGAAAGCTGTGACCAGCTATCATGATGCAGAACCTATTGCACTGTCACATGACAGTCTCATAACACAAATTATTTTAGTCTAAAGTCCCATTAGTAAAACTTCATCTTAATCACTTCATAGATCTTTACAATCCAATCAAGTAATCTGGAATAGAAAGAGGAGACTCTGAATACTTTGACAAAGTTACAAAGATCACGTGTATAGAAGCTGAACCTGGATTCTCTAAGAGGCACCAAATGCGAAAATCAGAAAATTGTCTCATTTAAGAAGGTGTTATTATCCTTTAGATATAAAAAGGGTTTTTTTAATAGCTGTAATTTTAAGCTTAATAATGTCACTAAAGCAGAAAGCTTCATTTTGAGTGGGTCAAACGAACCACCTCAAGCCCTAGTTGCAGTCAGAACTCTTGCCACTTTTTGTAAAATTGAATCCTATATGAAACAGAGCAGGTATAATCACTCACAAATAACTCCACTGACACATGTAGAAACACTGTTAGCACAACAGAAAGTGCAAGACTCGCAAGAGAATATGACATGATCTGAAGTGTGCCCAAGAATCCCTGTTTCCAGCTACCTCTTTTGTACAAGGAACAGATTTGCACCAGTTTCTCATGCCATCCTGTTCTCAGAGAATCCTCAAGAGATGGGCATTTTGGCATGCATCACTTGCAGAAATAGCTGTCAGGTACACCTCTATCTTGCTGTTTAGTGTATCACATGCTCTGAAGCCATACTCCTGCTTCAGAGGTCTTTTTGTTTCCCATCCTACTTCCCATTTCTGGTAGAGTTTAGAAGCTTAAACTGTGGTCTTTGCAGAAAAAAAAAACCAACCAACCAACAAAACAAAAAACCCTGAACAAACAAATAAACAAACTATAAAAAAAAAACCCTTTGGTAAATTTGGGCAGCAACCATCCATTAATGGATAAAAATCTTTCAACATTCTGTAAAAGGAACATGTGTTAAAAGACAGTTAATGAACACATTCATTAAAGCAATGAGAACACTGTAACCTGGGGTTTTTTTTGGGAAATAAGAAAATAACTCCATTATAGTGTCAAATCACATGGCAGTACAACTTAATTGGCAACTCTAAATCTGGTCCAGGATCTTCTATATTTCCATCTTAAGGGAATATCTACATATGCACAGTTACATTGCAGTTGTAATTCCAGAATGCACTACTACATCTCTCTGACAAAAAAAGCTACCCAGATATAGTAATAAGTACTTCCAAATTCCTGCTATCATTTCAGATCAGCTACATAAAACTATCTTCATTTTTCTCTAGATGTAGAGGCTGCTTGGAGTAAAAGTACAGTGGATTTATTTGAAGACTTTTTTAACATGCTGCGGATATTTAACAAGTAGATCAAGCATGGTAACACAGAACTGTATTCTTATTGTCATCTTGATAAAAATCATTTAAATATGACTATTTTACTGTGAAAAGTATTTCAAAATGGCATAAATCAACACTAGACCACCAGTAGATAGCTAAAGACTTGAGAATTTTAATAAGAAATTAAAATTTTGAAGCATTTGTGCACTTTAATATATTATTCACTGCAAGTTCAGGATTGAATGACTAAATTCCCACTTATTTGGGGGAAAAAGAAATTTTTACTGTCTTTGGTGGTCTTTTATTCAATATTAGAAAACATTTCTATTAATACACAATCCCAGACAGAATACATGCCTATTTCCAACAGTATTTCTCTAAAATAGGAATTAAAATTTGCATGAAAAAAATAATATCTTTCCCTGCTAAATGCATAAAAAACGTACAATAAATAAGAAGGGATCCTGAGTAAAATTTGTATTATTCTGAAGACATCCATTATAGAGTCACTGATCCTTATCACTTCCCTTGAGTACAACTCAAATACAGACATTATTCTTCAAGGTAAAATTTAAACAAATGAGGGGCATGAAAAAAATCTAGTGTGATGATAGTAAATGACTGACTGCCACCTGCTGTACCTTAAGCTTCTTCTTTTGACAGATGAAATATCTCTGACTATAAATTAAATGAAATCCAAGAGATTTGTTCTTGTTAACAGAAAAACACTTAACACAAAACTGAAAAATATTCTCCCCAGCAAGTATAACAGTTATATTTCCTAATCATTATTTTAAAGAATTTTCACATACACACACCCACAAAATTTTCAGGTTTAATGATGATCTCCTCAACTGCATATTTTACTAAATAACACATGTACTATAATGTAACTCAAAAAGTACAGATTTGAATTTTAGAGTTAAGCCTTTTTTCTTCTTCATATTCTCCTAAATTGTCCCCCTAAATGACAGCCTCACTGACCTGCTATGTTTCTACATAAAAAATTTTAAAGAAGCTTTAGGAGAAAATACTGTATTGTCCATTGGAATTCCAAAAATAATTAATTTCAAGCAACAGGAACAGTGCATGCTGTAACTGTGTAAGCAATATTAAATACTAAGTTTCAGGAAGAAATTAATTTCTCTTCCAGGTGTGGGATCTGAAATGGACACTTGTAAATCAACAGTGATTGCTTAATAGCACAGCATTCACAAAAGAGATTTCATTCATTGCCAAGTGTTTCTTACTCTAACTTGGTAAGCAGCATAAACATCCACTCATTTAAAACATCATCGTAGGTCAAAGAGATCTATATTAACGCCTTAATTTGTTTTTAAATAGTATTTAAATAATTATTTCAACAATTAACTTAATAATTATTATAATTATTGTAAAATTTATTATTATTAATAATAATCACCATAATTAACCAAATCTTTTTACTAGAAATCTTTATCTCCAAAGTTTCCTTTCACTGCTGCTGTCTGAAGTATTTTTTTTTTAATAAGGTTGGTTAGGAGCAATCTATCTGCTCAATATTTGCCTTTTCCAAAGAGGAAAACCAAAAAGCAACAGTGAAAGAAGAATAGGGATTTTAGAATAGCTTATTAAGAGGGTGAATATTTTTAGTAACAATTGCTGAATGACAAAGCTTTGTGGAGATTAATAATAACTAAAACAACAATAATAATAATAATAACAAAATTTTATTTATTTACTTATTATTGTACTACATCCATGAATACTATTGGTGTAAATCCAGTTATGGTAGTCAATGCATAAATACATTACCATTGATATCTCCTGTCTCAAAAAGATCAAAGATTTAAATTGGTAGAGGAATAAAACAACAACACATGAGGGAAGAGCCCAATAATTTACCATACTACAATGCTTGAACCAAATAAAGCCCAAACGTTTTCTTTTCAGTGATACATCCTCATCCCAGCTGTGGAAGGGGAAGAAGATTATGCAGAACATTTTTAGGAGAAATATAGCTCAAATCTTGTAAATATCTTTAGTATTTCAAAGAAAACAAACTATTTTGGAAATACTACCCTGTATACCAACTATAATCCTACTGCTTAATTGTTAAGTTTGCTCTAAATTAACATATTTTATTTTAAAGGAAGACACATCAATTCAATGTTAAAAAACCCCCCTGCAATAAATAGCATAAGTAAATATTGCAATAAAGTTTTCCAAAACATTGCACATTGTTAAACAGGAATTTAGTAAAGGGAGAAATGTTTTACTCTTTTTCAATTTTACCTGCTCCAAATAATGTAATGACAGGTTGATATATTTGGCTTCTGTCAGTAAGTGGCCTCCAATTCCAGTCTTTGCAACACGTTCTGATCCAGCAAGATCTACTAAATGCAATTTGGAGCGCCGGATAGTTGCAGATCCAGGTTCCTTGCTGGTGATGTGAATAGTGAAAATGCAGTGAGACCGGCTTGAGGCTTGATTCATTGGTGTCTACAATAACAGGAAAAAAAGAACTCTCAATGTTCAGTGGATAAATAAATTCAGCTCTTTATAGCTCAGTAATCCGGGAACCAAAATAATTTATCCTATTTTTTAGCTATTGGACCTGTAATGAACATGCAAAAAGAACCCAAAAGGATTTACCTGACTTTTGTATTCTGGAAAAATACTATAGCATCAGCAAAACACGTGGCCTTACTACATGAGGAATACTAGAAAAGGGCAGCTTGACTGGAGGAAAAGTTACTGAATGCTGATTTCTGAGAATTTAATAATTTCCCCATTGGTACATAATTTTTTTTTTTTTTATGATAGGTAGCTACCAGCGTAACAAGGACTAGGACTCCCTATAAGGCTTTAGACTTCTGAATTATTACTTTTATGAAAAATTCTGCTTGGAAAAATCAATATCAGACTTTTGGGTGGCATGACAGAGTTTTCATAAAATATTTGGCTTTAAATATATTTTTTTGGGAATAACTACAGCCACACTTCCTTAATTTAAAACACAGAAAGTCTTGGTCAATTTTTAGAAATGTACAGTCTTAGTATCACTTCAGAGGTTTTCTCAATATATTTGAAATGCGGAACTAAAAGTTTTAAACAGCTCTCAGTTATTTAACTCTAAATTTTAATTACCATATGCCATCACATTTGCATTTTTATTAAAAAACATATAAAATACCTTTAAACATCGAAAGCACCTTTTGTTTACTTGTTTCAAGGTATTGTTAGAAACTTAAATGTAAAACTACTTTACATAATCCTCATTTCATAAATAGCTAAAGCTTGAGATAATATAGGGAGATTAAAGGTTTAGCATACAGATAGTATTTCTATTCATAAACTATAACAAGTATGACTACATTGTTCTCAAGACATAAATGCTGACCCTGCAAAAAACCAGAGCAGTAAAATAATAAATCAATATTATTGAGTCAGCAACTAAATCTATATTTATTTATAGCTGCTGAAAAAAGTAAGAGAAACATCCCAGTTACACTGTCTACATTAATCTCTGGTCTCTACTTTATTCATCCTGCAGTAATTTTTTTATGCAGACCTATCCTGTGATTCAGACCAGATATATAAACATATTGTCTTTTTTTTTTTTTTTTTACATAATCTGCTTTAGCATGCAACACTGCAGATGTTAAAATGGCCTGCCCATTGCAGGTACTGAAGATGTTGTCTTATAGATCCAGAAAGGACAGCTCTTAACAAAAAGACTACAAGCTGAAGTGTCCTTTAACAGGAGTAATATGGATCATTTGGTTCAATTGTCTCCACTTCAAGTTCCCTTTTTTTAAAAACATCTTAGTAGTGCCAGCATAACCAAATGGGTTTTGGGAACAGATCCATCTTAAAAAAAAGAAAAAATAAAAGAGAGCAAACCATAGATATTTAACCTAGGTCAGTTTTTTGATTTAGCCACAGCACAGCTCACAGCTATAGAAAACAGCTGTGCAGAATACCTGAAAATGGCAGCATACTGGATGTGAACAAGTAGGTAGTTTGCAGAAACAACATACACTTGTAACCATTGGTGGAAATTCTATAAGGAAATTTCAGCCTTAGCAGTATTTTCTTTTGGGCTGCTTTACCTAATACAGGCAAGCTCAGAGGGAGAGGGAAAGGAATTTTGATCATTAGTTCATACAGATGAAGAATTTTAGAATTCATAATCCTGTGAAATGAGCATCAGATTGCAGTCACATGCTATGCTGTCCTCAGAGGTGATGCTGGGCAAATGAAGAGGAAGTGAGTTGTAGTGTTGGAATGAAAATAAACAGGCTGAGGGAAAGGTGTCAAACAAGAAAGCACTCCCAAACTTACTTAAAATACAGTTAGACTAAGAAAAAGTTATATGCTGTGAAAATGTACTTCATTCAGCAATTCTGATTCCATGAATAATCAGAGCCAGCTTCACTTATTTTACTGGGATGCCTATGACTTTTTTATTTGCAGCTCTGTGAAGCAGGACTGGATATTTTTTTTCCAGCTAAAAATCCACAACAGAATTAATATTTAAGGACATTCTCCTTGACAGAACTGATATTTAGGGACATTTTGCACTACAGAAGTAGTATCAGTCACACTATACTGCAGACAAGTCTAAGCCAGATCAAGTATGAGTACAGGTGGAAGCACAAAGTAAACGTTGCTATGAGAGAAGCTGAAGAAATCATCATACTTCTGAATATGCATTGTTAAGAAAACTTGAGATTCACACTACAGCAAAACCTTATCTATTTCAAAAAGGGCTTTTAGTCACACCCATTTAATGCCAACAGAGGCAAAAAAAAGTTCAAATCCTAAAAGAACATAATTTCAGGACTCTTGAGTTCCAAACAGCACATGGCAATATTTGCTCTACAAGGTTTTTATTATCTATTCTGATACACTAGCCACAACTTTATTTTGTGTGTTCCAAGTAGATTTGGCTGAACTAGTCATTAGAAACTCCATTGATTTTCTCTCCACAGCTTTTTTTTCTCATGTAAATGGAAAATATTAATGAAGCTGGTTTGGAAGTCATTGGCTAGAATCCCAAACTGGTATTTTTGTGAAGTCCTTCTTCAGAGTAGAACCACGGCTTAATCAAGACACAAGTACTCCTTTTTGTAGTATGGTTCTATCTCTGCTTTGGAGTTCCCATATACAGGAAGCTCTGTTAGAACTCTTGCAGAAAGCATATAGCAATAAAAATTTAAACTGTTAAATAGGATGAGACCATGAAATGTTAATTTCATTATCCCCCTACACGTAGCTACTTTTACCACACAAGTAGATGCACAGCACAGAAGAGAAATGATGACATGTTGGCATCTCTAGTCCAAGAACAAGCCTTTTCTTTTACTATTTGGTTATTATCTTACATATACAACTTCTGAGTATCACCATTCATCTGTTTAGAAAGTTTGAAAACAGAAAACAACATTTTCTGGACAGTGTCTCAGCGCCTACTAAAATGTTCCTTTGGTGGTTTTCAGAGTTCATTTTGGCTTTGTTAGTAGTATTCAAACCATATGTATATGAAATCATCCTAACACTAATTTGATGTGATGAAGGAAAAAAAAGAGAAAGAGGGGAGTGGCCTGGTTCTCAGCAGATGGTTGCTATTGTGAGAGTTATATATAGAACAACTGATGAGCAGCAGTTACTTACAAAGAATAATTTTTTCCAGGAATTCTGTTACATCATAAACCACATAAGCAGACTTCAGATGCTTTGTGATATCACGTGAACACTACAAAGGACTTAATGCCAGGTCATCTATTGCTGCCCATTTGTAGCATGGCAAAGGACAAATTCAGTAACATTGACTTGGTAAAGCATCAACACTTCATTTGATCATGGAAAATACATACAAGGTGTATTTCAAGCCATACAAGCCAGTCTTGTTTTTTCCAGGATGAAAATATACCTGTGCTGAAATTAAATAAATTGTATTGCTTTGTGACTTTAACTGCTACATCTATTTATACAATGGTTCCAAGAAGATGGCTTCTACTCAAATGAGAATCTACATCACAGTCATAGTGGAAGAAACTTCTGAGTTGGATATTTCTGTCAAGGAATGCCAGGTCAAGAACTATCCAAAAACTTGCTGGAACCTAAGCTGTCCATCTTAATCTAATTCTTACCCATCTTAAGTCAGAAAAACACTGCAGGAGTTCTTCCTTATATAGGAATTTATGTATTTCCCAAATCCTTTATTTGTTGCAGATGTTGTTATAAATGTTTGCACTAAAAATAGCCAGAAATGGATGCTACAGGTCTAAACAGTGTTCTTAAGAATTGAGGATCTAAGAAAGACAAAGCTTCTTGAACAGGACAAAGACATAAGAAAAGCTGTTTGAAAATCACCACTAGACTAATAGAAGCTGCTACTATCTGGAAGAATAATGTGTTAAGCATGGCTGCCAAAACACTGATTGAGATAATACATGAAAGGGAGCAGGACCACTGGGAGAAAACAATTTTGCAGGTGATAAATGCAGTTGTTAAGCCCGTATTGCAGACCATCTCCACTTGGCAACTTACACCATTCCAGTGAAATCTTTTCTTCCTTGAATCAAAATATTTAGACAGCAGAAGAACATGATTTTCCTGTATGAGTGAATTAGTGATTAGCCAATGCATAAAGAGATGTCAATTCTCAGTGTTCAGTTTTTTGAGAGAATGTCTCAGTAAAAACTTACAAAATTTTCTTTTAAGGAATGCTTCTTTTTCATCTGAAGGATTTTTTGCTTCTGAACTTTTCAAAGAAGAGCAAGGGGAAAAAAGAGAAAGTACTGATAGCATTCAAGATTGATATCAAATCAATTTTCTCCAATTTTGTGCTACAATCAGAGGGATATCTGTAGAAAGATGTTCTGACAACTACAGTCATTTCACAGTTCAGATGGATATCTCTGTCTAATGAATATAAACTCCAGTTCCAATAGAACTATGCTATAAGGAAGAGCATACAAATTGAGGAATAGGAGGTGCCTGTCTTTATATCTGGTAGATGAGAGAGACCTCAGGATGTCTTCAGCTTGTAGAGACCTCAGTATGTCTTTAGTTTCCTTTCTAAATAATAAGTTACAGGTAAAGGGGCTCTTCAGTTTTACTTAGGTACACTTGTCATAGTTTGAAATTGAAAAATTTTTCTATGAAAATATCAGGATCAGAATAGGTGCAATCATTTCCTGATAGCAATACTTTATTTTCATATTTACTACAAGTACAGTTTCACAGTTAGACCATGTTAACTTTTAAACTTAGGTAACTTTTAAAGTAATTAATATTCCCTGGTGAAGACATTGTTAATCTTATGTTATATAGTGCCTTTTATCCATATAAATCCCAAAGCATTTTAACTATAGCATAATGACTATTCAAAGTACTATGTATGACCAGTAATTTTTTTACCACACATGGAAATGAAAGCACCTGTGCTGAAATAACAATGCTATTTGGTGCTCAATACAATATTACAGATTTGTTGGCGTGCAAAGAAGTTAATAATTGACACCAAAGAGGAACCTAGGAAAGCAGAAAGTTGTAATTTCTTCTAGACTGCAGCACTAACCCAAATAGCATGCATTTTTGTCAAAAGTGGTGTTTAATCTCATATGCTCACATACTGAAATCCTATTTTTCCTATCTCATCCAATAAAAAATGCAGTCAAACACTACCACAGGGTTTCTATATATATTCAATAGAATATTAATGTACAATAAATACAAATAGAATGAGTTCAATTCACAGATCACAAGTCGGGCCCCACAACTAACCTTAAACCTTAAAGTTTCATTCTTTCTTGAAATAAATATATTTAAACATTGCCAAAAGTTTACCAATTGACCCAATTGTACTTCAAACATTTTAAATGATGGAACAAATACTGTGTCTTATACACTGTGTGCCAAATTTTAAAAAAAATTGAGTGCTGTAGGTATAAAACCATGCACTGAAACATTTCCTTCCTCATTAAAGCAAAGTACCTTTTCATTAAAGGAAAAAATAAATTCTAACTGTATATGTAACTGCAGTTCTCAGAGGTACTAAATTCAGAAAAGGATTTTACTGTTTTGAAATTGCTGCACATCCTTGGGAGGCTACCTTAGTCTATTGCTTTTAGAGAAATACTAAAAACCACTGAGAATTCTCAAAATCACAGAGGTTAAGGCATGTTATTTCAAAAGGCAGAGGTTATATGGGATTCCCATCACAAGAACCTAGAAAGACCACTTCATCTGAAGATATATTAATAGTATACCAAGATAAAATGGTTTGAGAATACTACTTAAATGGCCAAACATTTATTTCCACACAGGAGGTTTTTTAGATGTCGCTGCTACCAGTTGTTTATACTGCAAGCTTGATTTTTAAATCTTCAGCATGCATTTCAGGTACTGAAATCATAAAGTTGTCTTAACAGATAGAAAATATAAGAAAACAGATTAAAAAATAAAATTCAGATTTTATAACCTGTTGCTGCAGATTCTTATGTATTCAAATATATCAAGAAACTGTTTTATCAGAAAGCAAACAAAAATCTAGTCCTTACATTCAGTAGAGCCGCCAACAAAAGACTCTGGTTTTTTTCAGTTTTGATCTCTGCCTATTTCTCCCTGGCAAAATATGAGACAAAAAATTCCTATTTGGATTTTTACATTATGAATCGTCTCTGTACAAATGTCCCTCATCTTACCACCTACACAACTTGTAGTACACATCAAAACTAGAACAAAGGACCTAGAAAAGCAGTCCTGAGCAAAGTAGATTAGTTTCCTTTTTTTCCCTTCTCTTGGGCTATATAGTTACATGCAGGAAAGAAGCATTCAGTTATAAACATTCTCTTAGGTTCTGAAATTGAATGAATGAACAAATTTTACCTGCAAAATGCTTTTAATATTGTGATGACATTTTTTTAGCACAATCAGTGATGAGGGAAAAACACACCCCTCAAATCATAAGTTAGACTGCATTATCATAGCTAATGCAGAAATTAAATTATCATTCTTATTTTCAAAACAGTCAACTCTTCAAAGAAGGGTTATTCAGGGTTAAAGCACTAGATTGCAATTTTAGAGGCTACACATCTAATATGCAATCCATGACAGTCATCTGAGTTTTCTCACAGCCCAAACTCATCATTAAAAAAGATGAATTAAGCATTTATTTTACTTATTTTCTATTTAGGTTTATTAATCTTGCTTCTTTTTCTTTAAAGTTTACTTAATAGGGTTCTAATCTTCAGAGGTCAGAAAGTATTATAATGACTCAAGATCTAAAAATATGGTTCTCCAAAGAAGTTATGTTTACTGTCATAAGTCCTCCTTCTTAGATCTCTAAATTAACCCTTTTGTCTTCTATTACACTTTGTCAAGTTCCTCTCCTCCACACAGTACCAATTTTTCTAATTCAATATCATAAAGCAGTTCCTTGCCTAAATGCTCAGGTTTATGAGAAGCCCTTATGTTGATTATCTCTTGCCTAAACATATTCCTACCTCTCAAAATATAACTGTTGAAACAGTCATCCTTGAGAAAAAACAAGTATTTATGTTACCTATTTACATTTTGTAATAAAACACTTCTTCCCGTGTCCAGGTGTATGTGGTCATCCAGCAGGAGCACAGAACTATCTGACTATTCATATACTCTAAGTATCTTTCTTGCCAATGATTTATCATATATCCTTTTGGAAATACAGAGGAGGAAAACCCAAAAAGTTCAAAAAGAGAAACAACTCTATTGTAATAAAGACACATTGCCAGTGCTCATATTATGCAATACACTTTTTATATTTACATTCCATATCCAAGCATGAAGGGAAAAAAGAACCTTACAGATACGGAAACATTTAATTGGAATTTTTCAGAATCAGTAAAAAGAGCCTTGTGCTTGAATATTGGCACATATTTATTTTGAATTTCCTTTGAACTACCATCTGGGTTCTTGGTGGGTTTTGTTTATTTGTTTAGTTTGGGAGGTTGTTTGTTTTGTGTTTTTCCATAAAACACCACATGTTTATTATGCAGTAAGAAGGAAAAAAAGAGGGGACTTATATTAAGTACTTCAAGGGCAATTGAATGCTTAGTCATAGAATGGTTTGAGTTGGAAGGGACCTTAAAGGTCATCTTGTTCCAACCTCCCAGTCCCCTTGCACCCCATGAGCAGGGAGACTTCCCACTAGAACAAGTTGCTCAGGGCCCCATCCAAACTGGTGTTGAACACTTCCAGGGAAAAATTTCACTGGGAATGTTTGACAATGCTTTGCAAGGACATATTTTCTTATCTTTACATGTCTGTGTATGTTGATACATGCCAAATTCAAAAGTAAGTCTATAGTTTACAAGAATTTCTGTATTCTACTTTGAATTTCAGTGAGTTATGAATTCAAGAGCCACCAATAAGATCCACTATAGAACACTATCACCAGAGAAATGCTTATTTAATTTCACTGTGGAAATACACTCAAAAAGAGAATAATAATTTACGTCCAAGGACTTCTAAAATATACGTTGTATTTGAGAGAGGAGGAGAGATGCTTTTGGCCATTTTAATTTTGGTGGTGTTAAGAAGATTGGAGCAGCAAATCTCACCTCAGCAATCATTCTGTTGGTGTCCCCCAAGAAGAGTAGGTTTAAGGCTTCCTCTTCATTAGTTGCTTGCTGAAGAGACAAGTTTTTCAGATGAATGTTTTGATCAGAGTCTTCCATTATTGTCACTTTTCTACATGCAAAATAAAAACAGCAGTGAAAACTAGAGTTTTAATGCAATTTTGTTTCATACTTTAATTCTGATCACACCTAAAGGTGAAATCTAAAACCCAAGTCAAATCATAATGAAAGAACATGAAAAATAAATGATACACATTAAAGGAAATGTTGATTTCTTTTTTTACTGTCATCTCCTTTTTATTCCTTTATTATGAAACTTCACATAGAAAAGGAATATAAGAAAACTGTACATTTTAGAGAAAGCTTTGGTATTTTTGTTTATTGAGATATTAAGATTTCAAAAGTAAGAGATTAGATGATTCATCACAAACAAATAACATGTAAGGGTTTGTTTGCTATTACCAAGTACAGATGATACATAAAGCATACCATTATTTTGACATACAAATATAAATGGAATACTTCAGAATCAACACATCTGTAGTCAACATGTTTCTAATAACTTTAGAAAAATTTGTCAAGACTATTTCTTTTTCATTTTTATTAAATGGTAGTAACTACAACTGTAAATTATCCCCTCCTTAAATTAAAAGCAAGCTAACAATGATTTTATTTATTCCCCCTGTTAGAAATGTTCTTAGTTACATATTTATAAGAGTGAAGCTGCCAGAAAGGAATTGGATGCAAGGATATGGAAAAAGCTCCTAAAGAGCTGCTAAATATTACTGAAAATCCTTTTCACTTCTTTGAATAGTCCTTTAACATAAGATTTCTTTTTCTTTTGAAATGGTTAATGAGAGTCAAACTTTAGTGCCATTACTGAGAAGACATTAGTGTCTCCTCAGCTGGGACATTCTATAGTACCCAACATGGAGGCCAAGTAGTTGCCTTGCAGGATTTGGAAAACTCACAGAAGAATCTGTTAAAACAGAAGTACTCTAAATCTGAAGATAAATAACACGTCTTTCAGAGTGAATTACATGTTCTGATACAATTTAAAACAAATTAGAGCATTTTTAAAAGTTGAGAGTTGTTTTTATTTAAACTAAAACTTTATTTTCTGTCTAAGTATAGATAATATTTTCTATCTATACATATACACCTACATGTATACGTATATGTATATAAATATTTTTCATGTTCTTCAAGATAAACCACAAGAGGGAGTATGGGGCTTGAGTTTTTATCAGTAGGTAGTTCTTGCAGGTTAATTACTCCAAGTTGCTTCAAAACCAGAGAGATTGGGTTTTGTTCTGCTTTACTTTCCTTTCCCCCCACCCCACCTCAAACTGAGAATGAAATCAAGCATCAAAGCAGCATTCCATAGTATTGCTCTTAGAAACTGTGGGAGTGGTTCACAGTCTGATGGTCAAAACATTCAAATGAATATAGAGAAATAATTTAAACACATTGCAATGCACTCAACTCTTTTCAAGAAAAATTGCACGTAAAATACACACAAATATTCTTTGGTAATCATAACAATTGCTCTTCCAAGTATGATTGCCTCCTACCATTAGCCTTATTTTTGTGTGGTAGTATAAGACATTTCTCATTTATTCACAAAATTCAGGTTCCCCATTCAAAACATAAACCCCAAAGTATAAGTCTGGCCTTGCATATCAAACTTTTGATAATGTCAGATTGTATTCTGTGTGCATCTGCATGTGCATCACACACTAAAGCCCAGAGCAATTCTGATTGCAGTATATTCTTATTAACTTGTGCCCTTTCCTGCATCAACTCAGCTCCCACCAATGCAGGAGAGCCTTGCACACTGAATGCTTTCATTTATTAAATTCTTGTTACTAGCAAATATTGACTTAAATCTTCCTTTGATTAATTAATACTATCTCATTAATTTGTGTACTAAAAATAATAATAAAAATCCCCTTAATATATTTTGAATGTAATATGAATGACCATTTAAAAGTCAAGCTTCCTATTATTATATCTTTCTCTAGGGCTTAGAATTGAAGAAATATAAAATAATCTTAAAAAAATTTATGAACATTTAAGAATTGACCATAGTGATGCAAACAAACAGCATATGAAGATACACAAGTCCTATGCAAATACATGAACAGGATATAGTGATACTATGTCATTGTGAGGAGACTATAGGACCACAAATTTAGGATCAAGTTAAAAGAGAAAAGCAACAAGTATGCATCTTGTATTCTGTTCAGAAGAACAGAATAAATTAATGGATAGAAATAGGTAATGTTTCTTATAACTGCAAAGGACTTTAGTTTTTAGGAAAGAATTGTCAGGATAATCATCTTATGTATCATCCCAAAAAGATAATCTTTCAAAAGATCATGAATACCACATGAATACCTGAACACCACAACAGAGGACAAAGTCAATGCTTATTCAAGATGCAAGGTCACAAAGTTATTCAGCTACCACCACCACAACAGCACACAGATTTGATTTTCTACCTGTCCTGGGCTGACTATATGTTGCTTTTATCCCCAGTCATATGTTCTGCTTATGCTGAATAATAAGTTCCGCAACTTTAAGACTTGTTTCAAGAGTGAAGTGGGGAGTGAAGAAGTGTGGAGTTTTGTTTTCAGAAAACTGCACTCACTCCTCCACATTCCTCCTCCTGGACTGTTTTTTCTGCAGATGGATAGACAACAAGCCAGAGCTCTCCTTGGCTTTTAGTTACTTTTAGCTAGCTGAGGCAAAGAAGTTCCCTGAACTTTTTTTTTTCCTTTTCTTTGGACCTGTTTAAACCTGCTCTGGACCGAACACCCAGAAGAGTACTGGCAGCTCGCACCTGTGGTCCACCAGGCCAGGCCTGGGCCACGGCCTTTCCAGCACTGGACAGACTGATAAGAGACAATGAGTTGAGCTACAGCCCATGAAGGGGACTTCCTGAATTTGTCATCTCTTTTGGAGCAGCAAGAGGTTTTATTGCTTAATATTCTTTAGGTTTTATTGTTCAATAAACAGTTTTATCCACTTTTCTCCAAGGAGGTATTTTTCCCAAACCAGTTGGGGGGAGAGGGTGATTGAATCTGCTTTCTAGAGGAACCCCTTTGGGGGTTCTCTCCCGAATTTGCCCTGAACCAGGACACCATCCAAGTAGAGATTTAGAGCATAATCTCCCTTGTGAGACATGGCAGAACTGTGAGATGAGTAAGGGCTCAGGCAGACTGCTTGCTTGACACATCATATTGTGATAGGAAATCCTTCCCACTGTCTCCAATGAATTCTGTTTTGAGACAACAAAAACACAGTTTGGCTGTTCTGGATGTTATGGACATGCCTGGAGACTTACATATTTAGGGGTTAATGATTCATGTAACAGTAAACCTGAGCAGGCACAGCCTGCAAGGTGCTGCACATGCAGTGGGGCATTCAGGCCCAAGTTGTGCTGCACAGATCCCTTGGCTGCCAAAAAAATTCACTGAGTTCTCAGGAGAACACCTTCTAAGAATGAAGCTGTTTTCTTGTAAGAAAATCATACAAAGGCTCAAAAGAGCAAAAGGGAGACCTTCTCTGCATGGCTGGGATCTGTACTGCTCCTGTGCAGTGTGCCATGGGGAAATCATTCAGGCTCTGTCCAACGCTGCATGGATGCAGGACACCCAGCATGTGATGGGATTTGCAAGATTTGCCTCCTATCTTCCTCCTCTTATTCTGTTTTACCAAAGCAGTTACCCTATCAAGCCATTTGTTGCTAAACCTTTCTCACTGACATCTGGAAAAAGCTGGGCACTCTCTCACCCCCCACCCCACCATGTAGAACAAGGAATTAAAACTGAACCAATGAGATCAGTGATTCATGTAAGAACAAAACATACAAAATCTGTTAGAATTTGTAGGCAACTTAAATAATGTCACTCACAAAAAAAAATTGTTAAATAAATTTTGACATTTGCTCAAATGTTTGTAGAAAAGTTACCTTAAAAAAGCTTCACTGGACTTTATACTCTTTTTCAGGAAACAAATCAACATAGAACATGGATGTGAATAACCAATATATCTTGGATGCTGAAGTTATTGGATGCATTTTAAGTGTAATTTGTTTGAACTGTAATTTAAAAAAAATCAGTCTTCAAAGAAATTATTCAAAACAGTTTTTAGCTGTCTCCTTATTAAAGTCTAGCCTCACAAAACTTTGTATTCTCTTAACCTTTGCTATTCAGTAGTAACACAATGAGCACTCTTAATTTTGAAAGAATTTATTTCATATAAAAAAGTGAACTAGTAATATTATTAGCCTTAGAAGTATTAAAATAGTGATAATTCTCAGAACACTGGAAATATATTCTTGTAGGTTTATGGTTGGTGGTCAGTTTCCAAATTACAGACTTGGTACAGCCATTAAAAGGGGCTGACATTAACACTGTTGAGACTGGAGGAGAAAATTAGGTTTATTTGCATAAAAAAATCAGACTGAATAAAATATGTTTCCTATATGTTTAAGATTATTCCTTTAGCCTTATTTTATTTTTATCCTTCTTTGTTAAGGAAGGCAGGAGTTATTTTAGTAGTTGCTTTAGCTTTCCATGCCAGCACTTTGATTACTCTTAAAGCCCTTGGAGGGCAGTAGAGAAACAGAAGAGTACAAACTCATTAGAGGTAATTCACCAATATGCAGTAACAGGTTTTGTTTCAAAGGGAAATTATTTCACACTGACCCCATGGAACATAACAGTTCTGCATGTTACTAACATATATTGATATAGACATCATTGCTGATGTTTGAAGTTAATTGGCTCTGAGCTTAAAGCGTGGTTCCCTTAAAGTAAGACTGCATCATACTAAAAATTAAACACTTCCCTCTCAAAGAGGACTTTAAAGAATCTTCACACAAAATGGGGAATCCCTTTTGATGATTTGAAATTTAGATTCTATTTTCCCCTGGCCACATCACTGTGGAGTAATGGTTGTCTGAGCTCCCTGACAAGTACCTCCTCAATTACTGCAGATTAGATTATTATTCTAAGGCAAAACAGCAGTAATTGTAGTTAGCCCTCATATGCCAGCAGAGAGGTAAAGCAGTAACTTACTGCTTACCTACGAATTAATCTAGTCATTCTTGACTAATGGTTCTATAACTTCAGTTTCTACATTTGTGCTATACATGATGTCAAAAAATTCCTTACTTCTGGATAAATAAGAACACATTAGGAAGAACTTTTCTGATAGGTCATAATTAAAGTGAAATTCAGTGACATTTGGTCACATATATACTAGAACCAAGAACCTGTTGGAGATAAAAGGCTCACTCATAAATGCACAGCAAATTAAGAGCTTTAGAAAAGTATTCCTAATTTGAACACTCCTGCAAAACATAAGGTGGCAGTAAGTACTTAAATAGTCTTCTACCAGTTTTGTTTTACAGCAATTATTTCATACCTTTATGTCTTGAAAACAATCATAATGTCCTTGTAGAAACATGGAATTCTCTACAGCTACAAACAGAATTAGATTGTCAATATTAAATTCAATTTCTTCATAGTTCTGTGCAGGAATCTGTATATGCATACATATATGTGTAGCTATATGGCCCATATTCATGCATTTCTCAGGAATTTATTTACAGAAAAATAGTGGTTTTTGTGAGACCCTCCTCCTTCCTCATCTAGCAGACTCAGATGAAATGAGTAAGCAGTGCTAAGATGAAAATCTCATAGTCTACAGAACACACAAAGTATGGCTACACACAAAACCTTGATTTCAGGAGCTGAGATTCCAAGTCTAATCATGTAATGTTTAAATATAATGGACAATTTAAAAAATGTGTATTATTCCTTTTGCCTTAAGCATCAAATACAGTTTCAATGTCTCATTTTTCAAGTACTATCAACAAGTTTGTCATGTATCCACAAGCCTTTCACAACTTCTATCACCTGAATGCAATCTGTGCTTAGTCCCCACATTGAACATGGTAACATAAAGATAGGAAGAGTTTGCTGGTCAGAAGTACATATTTCAATTTCTCATTGAAATTACATCCCCTTCTTTTGCAAGAATATGGATAGCAATACTATTCCAGAACAATCTGCACACCACATGAAGTTAACGAATGATTTTGCTTATTCTTCTAAAATGACACATTTCTTCAGTACTCCTCCTGTCCATCTTAAATACTTAGGAAAGTATCAGCACTGACTGCTAATATTTGCCCAAGAACATACGGTTTGAAGCTGTAAAAAGCCTTTGGCTTTTTATGGTGCTCAAAGCTTAGATGATCCACTGTGGGGTTGAACAGAAAATTATATATAATATGACACCTTTAATGTACAAAAACCAAATTCTTTTTAATATTCTGATTAAATACAGGCTTTCAAGCAAACTTAAAGTTATTATTTTGTATTTTGCTTACTGTCACTGAAATATTAAGAGGTTTTAAGCACATAAAATTCTCCAGAAATACATATTAGATGATAAACACCTGATATATTTTAAAATATGATTATTTACTTATAAGTAACCTCTACTTTATCTTTTAAGTAATTGAAATATAGTTAATCATGCAACCACCTATTCCTGCAACTTTTGCTCCCTTTTTAGATCAGAATGACACTAGAAATTTTTAAGTTTTGAATTCCCAGACTACAATATTAAAAAATAAACAAAACATTTTATTAATTAAATACTTTTACACATAATTAATGTGACTTATGTAGGTATAGTTTTAGTTTACAGAACATATTTTCTTGATAAACGATGTAGTGGAAATAATGCCCATGTACAATTAAAACCTTAAAGCACTCAGTAATATTACTCTGTAGAGAAAAATTTATTATCTTACTACAACTCATCCTGCAGTAGTATATACTATGCAAGGTTACGGTAATTATGACTATCCCAGCATGCTTTATTCCTAATTTACAATCAAATTATCCATCAACTTTTATGTTTTAAAATAACCTTACACACAACACAGAACTATTCTTTAGTTTAAGTAAATCACTATACATAAGCTTAATTGTAGGATTCTAAAAATCACAATTATTAGGAAATATTCAGTACCTAGTTTTAAAATATGACATTTTCCAGAGCATGTGATCCCAAATATCTGTTTCAAAATTGCAGTTATATTATTAAAATTCAGTTTCTTTGAACTGAATAAATTCATCCTTATAAAATGTTAAATTGAATGAGTTCAGATATAATATTTCAAATTACCTAATAAATGAAATTATTAATCTAATAAACTTGAATAACTTGATAGCATTAAATCTAATAAGTAAACATACTATTTACTATTCTGTGTCCATGCAAAAATGGACACAGCATTAAATTATACTATGCAAACTAGCCTCTGACTAAAATTTTGGTCTGAATGCCACAGGAAGCAGATAAATTAGATTATAATCCTAAACTTCATCATGAAAGACACTGTAATGACACACAGTCTTCATAGCACTGATGTGTCATAAAGCAGTAAGTTCTACTTCCATTTTTCAGGTAAAGAAACTGAAACAATTAGACCAATTCACAGCCCAGTCCCACACTTTGCATTTGTCTGCTGCTTTCCTAATCTCTAGACTAGCTTCTTTCATAAAGATCAATCTTGAAAACTATTTTGTACATACATATCCTAGATACCCCATACTGCATGAAAAAACAAAGCTCCATTTAAACACAAAATATTGTGCTGCAAGATTTTTTTTAATAAATAGAAAAAGATAAATTTTATTTATTTTTTAATAAATAAAATTTAATAACATGTGAATAACGTAATTAGTTATTTCAAAATAAAATTCTATTGATTTTCTTTTATTGTCCCACTGAAAAATTTCAGCATGTTTCCTGCTCTTGTATCAGCAGTGATTTTATTGCTATTTACAAGTGTCTGTTACTATCATGTCAAATGATAAAATCCATGGCGCCCAGCATCATTTCAGGGTACTTGTGAATCCAGTAAACAACTCACTTATTCACACCTATTTAGTGTTTGCTCAGGTATTTAAAAATAACACAGACTATAAACTATTACTTCAGACTTGGAGACTAGGACTTGGATTTCCTATAAATTGGAAATCTTTAACATCACCAGCTGGAGTATTCATGATCTACAAACCTTTGTTTACTACCTTGCTCCAATCACTAGGCGCTAGTGTCTGATCAATGACTGCTATTATAACAGCCATCTTTTCTGAAGGAAATATACGATTCTTTGGAGCCACTATTGTGACCTATTTTCTAGTTGTAACTTACCTTATTTCACAATTGCATATTCTAGAAAAATACTTATCCTTGAAGTAAAAGGCCCAAATAGAAGCAGAGAGATTCTCATTACTGCTGTAAGGAAATACCATCTGTTCCATGTCTCTGCCCCACGCAGTCATACGTGCCATACAAAGAGACAGGCTGCCATGAGAAAAACAAGTGCACCTTCTTGTCAGTGGCTGCAAGAGATCACTTCTGCATAATAGCAGTGAACACCTACCTTTCAGTAACCTTTCACCTTTGGTTACTCCCTACCCTACATGCAAAATAACAAAACATTTCGGCACTGTTGACAGAATCGTGAAAAAAAAGTATTCTGATTAAATTAACACTGAGATCAGTAGCACAACTTCAAAAAGTCCTTAAACAATGTAATAGGGTATACGAAAATTATTCCTCTTGGTTTTAATGATTTTCTGTATTTATTACTTACGGCAAATCTTCCATTTTGGAGGTCTCATGTCTTGGGTCCAGCAGATCATAACCACATTCATTGTAGATTTCTAAGTAGGAAACATGAGTTGTGTACACTTTACTGCTATCCTGGATAAGAAAAAAAAATAGCGTTATAAACAGAAGTCAGAGGTAGATTAGAAGACAAATTTATTTCTGTGGCTTCTAGGTCACTTTCTCACTTTGTCTCTTTTCATGGGTATGGTGCACATGTTCAATTTCTGATACTTTCATGTTTTGTGTTACCATATATATAAGGACTCAAGAAGAAGAAAGGGGAAAGAAAAAAATAAACCCACAAAAAGCTCCCAACCAAAATAGAGGCACACACAACACTCACTAAAAACAAAAATCCCCCACAAAAACCACTATTACCATGAGTTTAGTCTGGGATTTTTAATTGATTCTGTATACTTTAAAAAGTCTGTATATATTTAAACATGCAAGCTGCTTACAGAACTATGCAACATGGCATTTTTCCCTTCTGCACTAAAAAAAGATTTTTTAAAAAAAGGTAAATGCTCATATTGTGGATAGAAAGACTGTGCTTAACGAAAAAAGCAAAGCAAAAGTAAAAACAGCAACAAAAATAAGATTTACTTAATTTAGAAACATCAGTGACATACTGGTTTTCATTCTCTTCATCATAACATTAGAGCACTGCATACGATATGATGTCAGCTGTTCTCTGCAATCACAATTCTTTTGGTAAATTACATTGCCAAAAAGTAATTTAACACAACTGAGTTTTGCCGACAATTTTCCCCTGCCCCAAAGCCAAATCCAAACAACATAAACCTCAAAATAGTGGGCTATGATTTCCAAAATTAAAGAAATAAAAGAGAATAAAAAAAAACAGTCACTTTTTTTTTCAGCAGAACAAACCACTGTGAAAGCACTGATATCAAAGTTGAAATGTAATAATTCAATCCACTGCAGGTTTTTTGCAAAATACTTTGAGATGTAACTTGTCACTTTCATTTAATAATTATTTCCTATGTTTTTTAATTGGTTATGACAGTTCACTATTTCAAGGGACATAATTTAAAAGATATACTACAGATGGATGGAAAAAATGTAGTAAGGAACAGTTCAAACAGGATGCCATGGAAATAGGAGAATTTCTAAATTAAAAGGAAATGTTATTAAAAACAAAGGTTTTGATGTGCTTCTCATTTAGTTCTCCAATTTTGTTTCTTTGGTTTCAAATTGTGCTGTCTTTGTCCAAGTAAGAGCTTAACAAGTCTTGTATTTCATGTCCCTGATTTCACTTTCTCCTGTTTCATCCTACTTAGGGTTAGAAGGCAAATCATTCTTGTCCACTATTTGAGCACCTTCCAAACCATAGTTGTAGGTATAAAGAAATGCAACCGGGGAGACATATGAAAAGAAAGGTAAGAGGAAAGATAAAACACCAAGAAGAGGCCCTTTAAAATGCACTAAGAAAAAAGATTATATGAAACAATGATCTGGAAGCAGGAAAATTGAAATAGCCCCATAAGTGTAACTAAGTATAACTTTTGTCCAAACCCAGAGTCTGAAATGGGAAACATTCGTATTTCTGTGTTGAGAATCTGACAAACATACTAGTTAATTCTCATCTAGCTATTTTGGTTTACTACATAATTAATATTAGAAAAGAATGTTGGTGTGTTAACACTGTTGTTGGCAATTACACGATAAACCTGTTCACTTTCCACTACAAAAGTAATCCATGGAGGTTGTGTGAGTGCAGCAGAAAGTCTAAGACAACATGATCATGTGGGTTTTTTTCATTTCCATTCCTACAATGGCAAGTTTTTGTGCACTTGCCACATGCTGTGTACATTTACCTGCCAAAGCCATACTTCCAAAGAGCCAAAGTAGTTATTCACTTTTGTTAACCCTTACTGAGACAGGGCACGTTAGTGTGACTAAGCCATATACCCTTCTGCAAACAGATTGGTATTCTGTAGTACACAACTGAAAGACTATAAATGTACAGCAGAATGATTTATGTTAATGGCAAATAATATTTAAATTGGCTTAATTAAATAGCTTTGCTAAAATGTGAAGATTAATGAGTCATAGGCCTGGTGGAATAAATGAAGAGACAAAACATAAATTACACCAGACTCCTCTCTTCACTTTCTCCTATAATTATAAAAGTACTGGAATAATTGACTATGTTGACTCATGTAAGTATTTCAGACACTAAAAGAAAATTAAATTTCTCACAAACATAATAAACATAAAAAAAAAAAGTGTGCTTACTCTGGCACATCCTTTCACTTATTGACTCATTTCATCACATAAAAAGTCAAAAATGAAATGCAATGCATGCAATACAAAACCAGAGTGGAGCTGATATAAGTGTTAGACAAGGAGAACAACTTGTGTGACCTGAAGGTATGCTGCACCAACTAAAAATACCCTGGGTTTTACAAAGACAAAAGCCCCCCACAATGATGCCCATAATTTTCAGACTATTGCAATAAACCAGATAGCCAAAACAACTACAAATACATTCTTGCACACAGGAAGTACCGTGTCAAGTTCAATATTTTATTAAGCATTAGTTTTAGGACTTCCACTAATACTTTTATAAAAACAAGCATTAGCAATAGTTAAATATTTGAAACCAGACATTAGAAATTAACAGAAAATAATGTTCCATACCTTCTGCAATTGATCAAAAATATAAGATAAAGTCCTGGGAATGATGCCTCGATCACTGTAACGTTCTGCTCCTCCCGTGATGGTAAAAGTTTTGCCACTGCCTGTCTGACCATATGCAAAGATAGTACCATTGTATCCAGCCAAAACACTATACAATTATATAAAGGAAGATAATTAACATTTAAGGCAGAACATATTGTCCATGATCAACTTTGTATAGAACCAAAATACAATTAACAGTAATTCTAAATTGCATAGCAACTAGCTTTGGTAATACAAGAGTACACTTTAATATTTATACCCTAGATTCTATAGAATTTAAACTATCTAGAATGGAAGGATTTCTTGATGCCTTGACTTAATCCATTATTAGCTGATCATACTTATTACTATTTACACTACCTTTTCATACTTTTTAGTATGGCAGATGATTTTCTGCAAGGATGATATTTAATCTCTTTAAAGACTGTAGATGTCTAGAATTGTGCTATTCATACAGTAGGAGAATCAAGAAATATTTCATATAGAACCTCATTAAATGCAAAAAGAGAAAACTACATTATAGTTAGAAACTCATGTAATGATACTGTTATACCAGGGTCCAGCTTTTATTCTGAGACCATGACTATACTGAATGACCAGACTATGCTTTGAAAAGAGTATGCAGGAGAACATGTGCTTAAATCAGTGTAATAAAATTTTCCTTTACTAAGAAAATGCACAAAAACACATCGGTAATAGCAAACTTTTCTGTTATAAATATGACTGTACAAGAAGCTTCGATAGAACAGACAAAATAGCTGTTAATGACATAGCATGAAATGGCATTCAGATTCATCTTTTTCACACTTCTTATTTCTGTTTGCAGAAGTGCCTAATGAAAGTCCAGTTCAAATATCTTTCTTTAATTCACCACTGACTTCCACCACGCCACCATTGACTTCCACCTTATTTCCACTAAACAGTAAATAAGCTAAATCATCTTAAATTTTGGATTGGATTTACTATGCTTAAGGACCTACCCATTTTGTTCAACAAACCGAAAAGTAAAAATTATTCTTGTGCAATTTGTTTAAAGAAGTGATAAATAAACTACAATTTTAATAAATAAAAAGAGGGAAAACAACCCTTGTGTAAGAGGAAAAGAAACATGTATATAGATAGCTGCTGGTCTGGCGCCACAAGAGATGCAATGATTCTCCAACTTATTAAAGTTTATTTAAAGGCTTGGGTAGTTGCCAAATTGCTTATTTTAATCCATTACAGTAGGATGTCAAAGACAAAACCAGAAACATGTTGAAAGGAGCTACAGCGAACATCTGCTCCCAAAATGCACAAAGATGGAATATATATAGATATTAGAATCCAGATGTTACAAATCAAAACAACTACTATGATAAAACACCTCATTCATCTATCTTAGGAATTTCTAGTGCCCACTGTCACAATATCTGAATGCTGACGACAGTAATGAGTTGTCAGAAGGTAGGGGGTATCAACAGAAGTTCAGACATGGCAGATTCAAACCTAGCAAGAGGAAATGATTCCTCAAGTAAATTGTAGTTAAGCTGTGCAACTCTTTGCCATGCCATGTTTTGGACATTAAAATGTCACACAGGCTTCAGCAGAAATTGGACTAAATCACCAAAACATTTTTCTTCAGGGCTACTAATCACAGAGAAATTACAAAGTCACTAAACTACAAATAACTAAAGACTAAGAGGATACATGTAGGAGGAGCTCTACATGCTTACTTTGTTTTGTTCCTCTGAGCATTGTCTGCTAGTCCCTGTCAGAGACAACATAGTGCGCTAGATGGAACCTTGCTCTGATGCTCTATAGTTGCACTTCAGCTCCTACAGATGAGCTCTTTGGCTCTTCAGAGCTGGCAACTGGGGCTGTTAAATTTTCTTACTCCTCTTCTTTAAAGGTGTGTCTTGCAATGTGTTAAAAACTAATAAACGTGTGGCTGCAAACTATTAACTCAACATGTTTGTATTCTGATTTCTAACCAGTATGGAAAAAGCTGTTGATTAGAATCACCTCACATGTAAACACAGGATAAAATGTCACATACCATATGCTGTCAAAACAGCTGCAAAAGTCAGTGAGTTTTCTTTTTGCTATTTGATTCATATATATTCTTATATTTTCTGCAGTGCATCAGCACAGCTCTGAAAAGTTTTCTGGAAAACCCTGACCGCCCATAAAATGTGAACATATCCATGTCAATAACGCATTCTTCTAAACCAATGTAATTATAGGTTATCTTAATATTGCATTACATAGATGATTTTGATTCCACAGTTATGTTCTTTAAATTCTCAGCCAGAAGTCAACCTTATTTTCTAAATTTATGTGTGAGTAACTAGATGTGTGTGTATAATTATATACAAATAACTGCATCCTGTGCATATTTACAACAGGCATTTCTTTCATTCAGAGTGTATTACAACTACCACCAAGTCAATTAAGGACAGCCTGCTTGAGGTGTTAAGGAAGCCTGTAAGGAAAGAATACAAGCAATAATTCCAGTGAAACTGCTGGCAAAGCCTTCTAAGAGCAACATTCAACTCCATGAGGACAGGATGGAGAGCAAATTCCTTTCTTAGTCTGAGAAGCAAAATACTTTGATAAATAAGAGACAAGGGACTAGGTGTTCAGGCAAGACTGACAAAGGTCCTTTGGCCCAGAAGCAAGCTGTACAGATCTTGCCTCCTGAAAAAAGCAGAGGGGAAGATGCAGTGAAAATGAACAGCCTCTACTGCATTGGCTTGTGGAGAGAACATTAAATTTATGAACTACACAAAAGTTAAAAGTTTGTGCATACATATATACTTATGAAAAAACATATTTCAAAACTGAAGAGATATAACTACCACTCTAAGTATAATAGCATGAATATTAGTCAGTATCAATTTTGAAGGCCCGTATGTGATAACATGGATTAAGTAAAAAATCCAGTTTTGATGTGTCTTATTCACACTTATTTTAAGTAACTTCATTTGGAATCAATGGCCATACAGGATGTTTTAGCAATGAGCCTTGTGGACAACATAGGAAATAGTTGTTGGAGACACACTTGGCTCTTTTTCACTTCCAAGTATTTCAAGGAAAAAAACTCCATCAATCTATTTTTAGGTCATTTTCCCAACGAGTTTAACACTGAAAGGGTAACTATATTTAGATGGACCAATACCAAAACAATCAATACATCAATACCTACTTACTAAATACTCAGGAAGTTGAAGATTTGTATCTAGTATTTTTGACCCAAGATGCACAACTCCCTCAGGAAAATAAAAAGCTCAAAAACTTTGATAAACTGTTAGCCACCCATAAAATGTTGTTTAAGAAAACAACATCAAACTGTACTGCATAATTACCCTTGGCAAACTGATGGGTCCCTCAGATGCTAGGGAGGGATATACACATGGTCTCTTTCATCCTGAAATATAACTGCAGCAGGTACCAAAAAAGTTGGCAACATCCATTATAACAAGAAAAGAGCAGAGCATATCTTCTAAACAGCATCCACCAAAGGGATCCTCAAAGATGCTCACTTGCAAATTAAGGCTGTCCCCAACAGTGGAAGTGATTCTTTACTAGGAAAGATTGGTAGAGAATCAGCAGCTTTTTTCTGCCTTTTCAGTAAAACCTACTTTGCAAGATGTCAGTTCCCACAAAGTCTGAATTTTTACTCTTTGAGTATCTGAACAAAAGTCCCAAATTTTTGTTAAATTCAAGATTTGAAACTACACAGGTTCACATGTATAGTGATGGTAGTCATGTGAGGACTTAAAAATATGCATAAATAAATATCATACACTAAAAGTGTATTTTCAGTCATGCACCCTTGGTGTTATCACAATATCTAGATTTTTTTTTCCCCTCTCTGAAGGATGAATTTTGGCATGGTTAAGAAGACATTTTGTTGAATAAGTAGTCTCTGTACTGCTTTAAACAAAACATATTAAAGACCCATAATCCAAGGAGAAGCTTTGCAGAAAAGATCTTTCATGCATTTATACAATATTGTAGAACACCCTGTCCAGAAGTTCATGGACAACTTCCAGACAGATTAGCCAAAACACTGTTGGAGAAATCTGTCTCCAGCATATTTTACCAAAGTTGTGATTGCCAGAGCTACTGGAGGGTCTTACTTTTTTATCAATACCAAGAGAGACCTAAAAGCACCTACTACAGAGAAAAAAACCCTTTAAAATACGACGCTCAAAATCTTCCCTAAAATTGTATGCTTGTTTCATTCTATTACAGAATTGAGAGGGATCATTTTCATTATTCACTAAAACATGCAGGCATATATTTGTAACACTTTGTGATAGACTTACTCTCTACGAGAAAAAAATAATATATATTAAAGTCAGTCTCTAACAAGTCGTTGATTTGGCTTTGCTTGTACTGCTTATAACCACATATTCCATGTTTCTATCTGGAAAACATGGACAAATGAAATATGTCAAGGAAAACTTAATTTGCCACATGCATGAGCAGTAAGTCTGATTTGTTCAAGTTCATACCTGTGGACAATAAGATGCATTGAATGGGGACAAATCTCATTGAACTGAATTTCTGCATATAAGGAAATCTCAAAGAAACCTGGCAAAGACTTCAAGTTCTGTTAAGCTAAGATTTCCACAAAAACTGTGACACTTCAGGGAAAACATGGACATGCAACAGGTCTGAAAAAAGTTGCATTTCAATCTTATTTGATATACTGAGCTGTCTTCATGGCTTATTAATGTGTGGAAGATCTGTTTCATGACTGTCAAGAAAGGCCCCAAAAAGTCAGTTGCCAATTCAAAGAAACAAATAGAATATCAATATTTTAGATTTAACTCATGATATCAGAATATCAGGTTTTCCAGATTTTGTAGCATAAATTATAATTACATCAACACTTGGTAAATACAAATTTTAAAATTGAATATTTTTGTGTTTCAGTGAAAATACACGTGGTCAAGTCATATGAAGCTTCACATGTTAAAAAACTGAATGTAAGAAAAAAAATAATGTTTGATATGTTATAAATGTACATCTATGTAACCATATCTACATAAGTTTTCTGCATCTTGAGGTGAGTGGGATGATAAATGTTAGTCTTGTCTTTTTGATCACTGTAAGAAA